TGCCTTCCACTTTCACAAGTAGGATTAGCCGAGGTCTTGAACCTCATTGGCCTATTGGCATGTGAAAGGACCACACATAGCCCTAATTGCAACTTGGGCCCCAGACTAGGCTTCAATTGTAGCCAAAAATTTCACCTCTAAGCATAATCATGTTTCACCTAGTGATGATGAACGGGTCGAGCCATTCATCAGTTCAACTTGCCTTGATCTGTGTATTACTTGGACTTGTATTGAGATGAGTTGTGGATTGAGCAGATCGGGCTCGATTATTGGTCTCTTTTTTACTCTTTTTTTGTTTATTTTATCAATTTATAAAATAAAAAAATGAGTCAGCTCATGCCTGTATGGCTTCTTTCCACTTTGGTCAATCATTTCTATTTTAACGATCTTTAACAGACAATGGTTCAGAATCCTCATTTTGCATAATATCAAGAGTCACGCTAAATGCGAAAAATATTGTCTATAACAATATTATTTCGCTCTCATAATTTATGAGATAACATATAATTTATTGAAATCTCAATATTTTCGGACACTTGTGATTATTCAAGGACCATATTTTCAATATTTGAACCAATTGGTTGACTATGTTTCTGGTATATTTGAGATTCATTTACAATAGCAAATTGTCGTGCATGGACATCAATTTTTGTTGAAATATTTTCTGCTGATATATATGACTTTGTCACTTTTCTTGTGTCAACAAATACATCTAGTAATTGATTTACAACTCTTTGTAAATGAATAATTTTTTCAAAATATTACTCACATTGATTACAGTGGGGATCAAAGTGAGATAGAGTTGTTTCATTCCAAAAAATGTTACTTTATTTATCAGGATGTAGTTTTTCCCCTCCCAAAATTAGGAAAGTCATTTAATAAAAATGACTATATGTAAAACGTGCAATAAATAAATCACAGGTTAAAGGTTCAAGATACCTAATAATAGATGGTGAATCAAAACTCACATAAATCTCAAGTTTTCGTTAGGGACCCATTTTAGTCCGTTGTAAGGGTGAAATAGGGACTTGAACAGTACAACAAAAAACCCACAGATGAGAAATATTAGGTTCATGATCAAATGCTACTTGCAAAGGTGAATATTGATAATATGCAGTTGGTCTGATACGAATCAATGATGCAGTATGTAATATGGCATGACCCCAAACAGAAGCTGAAAGTTTTGTTTTCATAAGTAAT